TTTACCATTTCAAAGGTGTTAACGAACACAAATGTGATCTTAAAACGGAACTGCATTTTAAAAAGTCCACCGTCTATTATTTCCGGTCCCGTCATTTTTTGTTTGTTTGTGTATGTGTGTGTGTTGTGTAAACAATATTTACCAGCTGTGCGTGATGTTTAAAGGTCAAGCCTACCCAAGAGAGGGACGCCACTTCGTGCATCTGTTCATCTATAAACCTTTGTTTTACTTTTTGAAAAGTTTTGGTTAGTTTCATTTAACTAACTTCTGTGAAGTTGTTTGTTTGGGTATTTCTGTATAGGTTTTTTGCCACTCTTTTGTTGTTAGTTGCGTGTTACATTGTGGTAGACTTGCTTTCTAATGTTTGTCTGTGTTACATTGCCGTGTGCTACTTCACCGTGGCTTTGTTTCAATATGGGTGATTTCCATACAGCCCTGCTGTGCCTCACTCCTTTTATAAATATGAGGCTTCTTGTCATGAGTGAATTTTTCTTAGTGACTTTAATAAATACAAAACATGAACCCATATATATATATATATATATACATATACATACATACATACATACATACATACATATATGGGATATAAAGTTATGAGGTTTGTTTACATCCAATTCTAAATCTTGAGGTCGAAAGCTAACTGTACCTATTTAATAAACAAACTCAGAAACATAAGCATTAACATCTTTTCTCTCATTATTTTATAAAAGTAAAAGGAGAGAGAAAGAGAGAGAAGGGAATTGGATAAATTGGTCTGAGCATTTCATTATAACTTGATGTGATACTCTTTAGAATTTAAAAAAAAAATTATTTCTTTATTTTTTGTTTTGTGTGACCGTGAAAGCCAAGGGCAGGCACAGGGATTTAGCTGCTTCCAGACAGTTCTTAAATCAGCTCAGCTACCTATACTATCACTCTGCATCTGTTTACAGCTTCACCTTTGAAGTACAACATAATAATGTCAAGTGCCATGTTGGGTACAGTACAATCAGTCTCTGAAATCCGCGCCCCGTCCCACAGCTTTTAATTTTCCTTCCCCTGTAAACTGTGCGAGGAGGGAGAGGCTCTGTCAAGTCGAGGAGTGAGATACTTCTCTTGTAGTTGTGCTTTGTTCCATTAGAGGGGGCTAGCGGACCCATGTCTGTTTTGAATTGCTCAGGGAAGTCTTAATTTGCTCAGCTACTTTGGCTTTTTCTATATCCATCACTTTGAATATTATGTGGAAGTATTTGCCTGAATTTCACTTTGCTGATAACTGACCCTTTCACCCCAACCATGAGTGGGTTAAAGTGTTAGCACTGATTATGTTATTTGCCAGTGTTTTCTTTGCCTCTCGGTATTAAGTATTGGCTTTGCTATTTGTGTTCACATGAGAAAGGGCTGGGCACTACTGTATGTAAAAACAGTATTGTGAGTATTGAAGTAATGTCAAAGTGATACTCCCTGTTTCCTATAAAGTGTCTGGAGCACTGCTGTAGTGGCTAACTGCACTGCACTGCACTGATTCTCCCATCGCACCCAGCGAGTGCCCCTTCCCACTTCCCTTCAACCCACCTCCTAAACCTTGGCCCTCCCTGCATCCTGCGTCATGCATGCGATCTAATCCCTCTTGTGATGGCGGAGGAGTAATGACAATTCTGTAGTTGTGATACAACACACCCAGCGCTGTAAGAGTTCTGCACATGCCCACTGTGTGGCCACGTCAAGTGCTGAAGTTTGCTTGCAGCATTTTAATTGCTTGCTCATGAAAATCAATTATTGTTTAATAGAGATTATATTATTATTGTTATAACCACATTTGGTTGTTGTGGTATTTTTTTTTTCTTGGTATATTCGAAGTCTGCTTCTTTTGGATATGAAAGTTTGCTAAAAATGTTTTTTATTAGAAAAAAAGTGTCGCATTATTCTATATTATATGGGGGGAAAGCCTGTTTGTTGATTGTGAAACATATGAACTGATGTTTTCTGACTATTCATGTCTGTATTAGACATTTTATTTGCAAATCTATTGTTCGATTGAAATGTAAACTATTAAGAGATGGTACACATCCGTCATTGTATACAGTCTGACACCATCATTAGATGGACTTTTAGTATAGACGCTCATTTATACAACCTGTGATAATCAGATATAGTTAAATGTTTAAGTCATTGGGGCAGTTGTGTAATGTTTCAGAATGAGGAAACTACAATCCTTAAGAGACGGTATATCCAAAAGGTCCCCAAGATGAATAATACTGTTATGTATTCCATTTATTTCCTTGGAAATATCACGTTGTGAAAGGTTTCCCTTTTACTAATTGTGCAGTAATGCAGGGCTGGAGTAAAGTCTAACCTATGGTGGTGATGATTTATGTGCTCTTAATAATGTATGAAACTGTTTGAGTTTTGTTTTACTGACTGATTCTTCTGGTGCATTTTCTGGCTTGTTCAAATGTATTACAATGACTTGCAGACAGCTTGGCCCAGCGGCATACTGCTTCGGGGTTGCACTGAGATGTTAAGTTATGAAAAAGAAGATTTTAGCACATGAAATTGCATGCTATAATAAACCAACAATAGTACTGTGTGTGTGTGATTCTTGTCTTGATTTGTCTTGTTATAGGATTAGATGCTGGAGCACATTTACAACAATTAACAACAAGAGGTAAAATCCACCAAAAAAGGTCGAATCCATACAAGTCTGTATAATAACGGCCATCAGTCAAACAATACTGTTTGCTCTGGGTCTAAACAGAGCGCGTTGTGTGCGACGTCTTCTTTTGCGCATGCGGGCCGCTTTGAGGGTTCACACTAGAGCACGTTTGCTGTCACATTTTATTTGTAGTGTGAACAAGCAGACAAAAAATTTGGATTTGAACAAAAAATCGGAATTGAGCATTAAGACCTGCAGTGTGAACGTAGACAAAAAAATGACCTCTAGATCCACCCATGCATCCAGGCTGGAGAACTGAGAGAAAGCCCACCCAGATATGAGGGGAACATTAAAAATCCACATACAAAGGCCACCAGGCTGGATTCAAACCTGAGACCTTTGCGCGCCAAGGTGACAATGCTAACTGCTACACCACTGTGTTAATGATTTTTCTTTTCAATGTGATTTCCTAGGATCTTTTTTTAAGTAGAATATCACAATGATGCACCCACATTGCTTCAAAATGCAGCAGGATTATACATTCCTTCCTGCGTGATTGTTGCAGTGCATTTAAACTAATCAAATCAAAGTGGCTGTTAAAAGTGTGGACTTAAACACGAGGTGGTCAGTGTTATTGTGAAGCGTTCATTAGAAATCTCTTATTTCCTAACAGGCTAAGTATGTGTGTGAGCCTGCTGTGATGTGGTGACCTGGTTTTCAATATATTTAAACGGAGTATTGTGCTTTGTGTTCCCACGTACGTCCCTTATGAAACAACAGGCTGGACAGGAAGGGCCAGCATGGCACCGACACAATGAGAACCGTAGGTGTGTTTCTCATAACTGACTGCAGCGGGACATAGTTGTTGTTTTTTTAAACCCAAGATATGTTGTAAACAGAAGGGCGCCATCAAGACTGTTTTGTTTTGGGTTTTTTTTTAATGAGGTGCAACACAAGGACCAGATATATTTAATAAGTGTATAAAACTGGTGATCAAAAAACAATTTCAAACTACGCAGTCCTTTTTTACAGATTTATTATGTGAAAACTGGAGCTGCATATGAATTTAAACAGAAACTTCTAATGGATAGTTTTTTGCAAAGTGAAAAAAAGGTATTAGAGACTTTTTACCTAAGTAAAAGAATCATTTTTAAATAGCTTAGTAGTTCACAGGATGTATATTTAAATATATTTAAGTTCTTGAACAAAATGTACTCACGTGAAATGGCACTGTTAGAATCATATGTATGATATTTTTCGATTATTTTAGAAATATTTATGTGTATGTATCTTTAACATTGCAGCTGTTGATGATTTTAATTACAGATATATTGCTCTGTAACTTGATCTATAATTGCACTCAAAATATAAAGTGCATGGAAATAGTTAAATGAAGTATAACTACATAAAACCTGAGTAAAGTACTTGCGTTAATGGTCCTATCTGTGCTCTCATCCAGTGGTGGGATTGTACTCTAGTCCAATGCATTTGGGGTGCAGGCAACTAGAGAAGGAGAACCATATTTCAGAGGGACCATGTACAACCGATTCATCCCTTCTATACATACCCCTGGGCACCATCTACACTGAAGTACTGCAAAATTCTGGGTTTACATTTGATTAACTTGAGTGTGAACTATGGAAACAAAGACTGAAGAGACTGAAGAAGTCACTTGGATGTGTTGAAACGTTTCTCCCACTGAAAACGCTACGTCCAGATGAACAGACTCAACTTTTGGAGATATGGAAACAAAGGTTCTTCCATGTAGAAGTGCATGAATTAATACAAGAGGAGAACATATTTTGAACATTTTATGACTGTACCAACTATTGTACTATTAAGCCAAGGAGTTATATGGTCAGCATCAGCACCACATATGTTTACAACACTAAGAAAAGGAATGAGCACTCAAAGGTAAGAACTTGGGACTTCTGTGAAACCCCAGTCTGCCTTGTCATGAAAGAATGAAACATTAGTGTTTGAAGCTGCTGAAATCCAAGAATAAAGCAACAGGAAGTCTATGTGTAGTTGCACACCCTGAATATTTCATGATTACACCTACTTTCTCACCTGACAGCAGCAACTGTATATGATATAGATATGAAATAGATAAGAAAATCTATGAAATAGATATGGAAACCTCCATCTATACCATAAAAACCTCCAGAGCCAAGCACAGACATTCACGCCACTTGCAACTGCATTTATTTTGAAAAATGGAGAACAGACTCCTACTTGGCCCAGTGTGTTTGACACTTCTCATTTAAGATGAGCCCTGACTTAAAAAACAAAACAAAACAGACTCGTGTTATCAGTCAAAGCTGCACACCAGCCAGCGCCTCCTTTCTGCATAGACTGAGGAGCAGTGACAGACGCATGCGCGGTGTGGTTGTCAGCGGGTTGGTTGGGCTTGTGTTTACAGCTCGGCTGGATGCTGTTGTCTGCTGATGTTATTTGGGAAGTGCAATGTTGTGCCAGCCGCCGTTGGAATAAAAATAAAAGTGGGAACCAAGGTAAGCTGTTTTGCACTTGCGCACGCATTTATACTCGAGGTTAAGCGTGACTGTCTCCCTGGTCAGGAGGAAATATACCTGTTTGTTGGTTGGAAGTGCCAGAGTAGCATGGCTAGCAGGCGTTAGCTATCCAGCCATAATACTGTAATGGCCTGTATGAACACTCTGTCCATCGCGGGGCCAGGCAGCGGATTTATCTTAAAGTTATTTGCAACCCATTTACCTAAGAGTTTGCATTGATTGTGTCGTGTTGACGGAAGTGTCTGGGGAAATGTTCACTGTGCGATTAAACATTTTGGTCTGACTTTGAGGCTATAACTGCTATAGCTGTATTAGCTAACGTTAGGCAGGTTGGTGAGGGCTAACTGAAGCAGTAAGTGAACACTGGAGCTAGCGAGCTTCGCACGTTTTAATCGAGAGAAATAGATTAGTGCCTGCTCAGGGACAGGTGTGGTTTAATAGGCTGACAGGTAGCAGTTTTGCCTATATCCACATGGAAATGAATGTGAATGCTAAGCATGCCAGATTGTGTGTAGATGTTGCAGTTGTCACTGTAGTGCAGAATATGGACATATATTAATACTTATCAATGCACTCATTATCAGATCGGATCGGTCCTTCCGTATGTTATGCAGTGCGATGGGGACCTCATGAATAAAAGGTCAAATAGCCAAGCATGTACTGAAGGCATATGTGATATTAATATACAAGTCAATAACTTCATAAGATCAGCAGCAGATATTAGAATTAGGCTGTCGGTGCTTTTAACGAGCCTTTCATGCTGTCATTGTTTCAAGAAGACGGAAACTTATAGTGCTATTACAAAATGCCCTGCAGGTATTTGCTGTACTGTTATAGTCACGTGCCAAGGGAATAACCAGGGAGGTTATGAAGTTCTTTCCTGGAATAACTTAATTATTATTATTTTTTAAATCATAGGCAGTCTGCCCTGCAGGACCCATTAACTACCAAAACACAACCTTGGAACAAAACTAGCTGTTTAAATACATTAATAACATTTCGCAAAAGGCCTCATTTTCCAGGGTAGTCCCCTTCAGCCTTTTAAACTAACTTCGCTGACCCTGATTTCAATATATCAGAATGAGTGTGTGCTGTGTTACAGCTTCCTCTATGCTCTGTTTTACACTGTTAACATTGCACATTGTCAGTTCTTTAATGAGACAAGTTGTGTCAACACAAACTGACCAGAAGTTATATGCCATATTCCTCTCACTTAACCCCTGGAGGGTCTTAAGGACATTTATTGTCGTTAAGCACAAAGGTGGATGCATTTTTAAGACGCCTCCAGGTGTTAATGCTGACGACTACTGTCTGTCTATCTGTCTGTGAGCTTGAACAGTTTCCATCAGTCAGCTGATTGTTCCTGTTGTATTTCCTGAAACTCCAGTATTACGAAGCAAAGCTCGTTGCATATAATGCATTTGGTGCATGCGCTCGATAAGAACAAAACAAAGCCAAAAAAAAAGATTAGACTTTATGTAAATATTTGTTCTATTAACCATCAGCAGCTATATTAGAAGAGGAGGAAAGCCAGCACATTCACAGCTATACTTTATGGAAGCATTATGTTATGCATGTGTTTTCTTCCACATTACACAATAACATACATAATGCTGGTTTTACTACAGATGCTTATGCACAATAAAGTACTTTATTTGTCTGATAAACAGACCGCTATATGGAGATTGCTATGATTGTTAATTTATGTGGTGTTGATAATATCAGGAACCACTTCATTCATCACTTATGGTAATTAAAACTTATGTTATCTGTTTAACATTAATACTTTTGTGGCTTTAGGGACAACTTAAAAAGCTGCTGAGAGGCTAAGATTGGGTCGTGCCACTTCTCTGATATGTTATCTGGAAAATGTCTCACAGAGATTCTTTCTTTCCTGTATCAGCAAAGAAAGAAGCGACTTACTGTAAAGTGCACTTAACAATCAAAAAAGTAAACAGCGATCACAAAAAAGTGACCAATAAACAAATACCAAACCCACTCCCCCAAATACAAACACATAAATGACATGCACAGGGGGCGATCGTGGCTCAAGAGTTGGGCGTTCGCCTTGTAATCAGAAGGTTGCCGGTTTGAGCCCCGGCTTGGACAGTCTCGGTCGTTGTGTCCTTGGGCAAGACGCTTCACCCGTTGCCTACTGGTGGTGGTCAGAGGGCCCGGTGGCACCAGTGTCCGGCAGCCTCGCCTCTGTCAGTGCGCCCCAGGGTGGCTGTGGCTACAATGTAGCTGCCATCACCTGTGTGTGTGAATGGGTGGATGACTGGATATGTAAAGCGCTTTGGGGTCCTTAGGGACTAGTAAAGCGCTATATAAATACAGGCCATTTACCATTTACCATGCACATAGCTCAGCTAATATAAGTATATGACATTACATTATATTATTATTAGGCCCTTACACCATAATAATAAATATCAACCACTAAAGACAATAAAGCAGAGTAAAGATGTCAAACTGAATAGATTTTAGCACCTCCCTCTATCACTACTGTTCAGATGTTTTTTTCCATATCTGGACTGAGATGCAAGTAACACCCCTCATACACACCTGTTTTTGGACAACTGATGTAGACTGAATGGCGAGGGCACCAACTGTTGTGGATTAGTGTTTCAGTGCATGTGCTGTGGGTGAGATGACTCTAATTCATACATTAGTTACATTAGAGTTCAAAAGTTCCCAGGCGTTTGATAACGGTTTACTTTTGGGGGAAATAATGTTTCCGCCAAATAACCAACGAATTGGACAAGTCTGCATCGGCCTCAACTTTGCACAACTGGATTTTGTTGCATGTACTGCTTCTTTGGAGCTTTATGGAGTTATTGAGCTCATTTGTGTCACACTGATGGATGCATCAGGGGCAATTAAGGGTTCAGTATCGTCCCCAAAGATACTGAGCAAGTGTTTCTGTGGTTAGTGAATTACCTGCTCTTCTTCCCAAGTAACAGCTATCCTCATGTTGAGTGTTAATCAAATTTAATTAATAATTAAAAAAAAATGTATAGAAAAGACCTGATTACCTTCTGGATTTTAAATGTTATGACTTGGTGGATTAGACGTATTTCCGTCCTCAGTTTATGTGGCTTCTTATTAACGGTAGGGGGAAGCAGTTTATTGGTAAATAAATGTCTGCAGACTGTTGTAAAGCTATATCTAGCTAGCTGTACTGTACCTTGTATGGATGCAGCTGATTTGTATTTGATTCTTAATCATTCAGTTGCATTAGATGAATACTCATGTTTCATAAAACACTTGTGATACTCCATTAAAATCTGTGTCATCACCTAGGTGCACACAAAAACACTGAACACAGACCGAGCAGAAACTAAAAGTGGGCTCACTCAATCATCTGGACTGTTTGTGTTGAGAAGACATTAGCCTGATATCCGCAGACAGCTGGTTAGTATTAGCTGCCCAGCAGGGACCGACTGAATAAATTAGAATCCACATACTGTTCAGTCCACTTCCACGCCCTCATACTCTGTAGCTAGAGATAGCATCTCATCAACAACCACAGGCCAAGAGCTCAGATCACTATGCAGATCTGCGCCTCTTGCAAGACAACATTGTATGCACTGCTCACGAGAGTTGTCTTCTGTGTTTTTTCCTTGATACTCAGTAAATAGAAGAGCTATTTTAAGGTTAAATACATACACACACAAACCCACCCACATTTTTAGATGTGTGATCCAAAAATAGCACTCACTGTTAAGTCACCTGAAACAGAAACTTTGGTTGCATGTTAAAAGCAGGGTTAGATCATGTCATTTCAGCTGCTCATCTTATAAGGGTTGTACCTACCTCTCTATTTTTACTCACAGACCATTTGCACACTTCTTTTGAGTTATAGATGCTGTACGCTTTATTTCTTCCTTTTTCTTTCTTGCAGCCCTGCTTTGTTTTCCTGCATCTGGGCTTTGGCTTTGATAAGAAATTGCTCAATTTTTATTGTTAATTCACTAAACGACAGAAACTTTGACATACATATTTATCACTGAGGTAGGGACAAATGCAAAAGTGAGAATTCATATTCACTTTCAGTTCCATTTTCTGTATGTTCATCACACATAACTATTGTTGCATGCATGTTAACACACATCTAAGTGTCAGCTTTACTTTAAAAGCCATACCTCTATTTTTCAGAGACAACACCACTAAGTAAGTAGCTGTGAATAGCCAGTCCATGGCTGTAGCTCAGTATTTTACAGTGAACAAGTTTGTTGCAATCAGTTCTGTGTTTGTGAAATTAAAGGCAGGCCTGCCGTATTTTATTTAGTCACGTGAGATCATTTTATTGTTGAGCGCGAGTCTTTTGAGAGCATTCATACCACTTTATTAAACCAGGGGCCTCTGACCTGCAGTGAATCTGAATGAAGATTATAATTAGATGCTCACACAGTACAAATAAAATACTGTTTATGTGTGTGTTTCTTTGATTTTGCTTTGTAGTGTTACACTCCCATTGTAGTAGATGAGCTGTTCTGTCACTTTTCCTCTCTATTGCTCCTTTCCCCCCCCCGCTATCTCCGCCTGGCTGAAATCAGTGCTGTGAGGCGGGTTGAAAAGGACTGTGGTGCAAGCCTGAATGCTCTGCCTGTGTCTGGCTGTGTCTTCCTCTCCCTCGTGAGGTGCACACAGGGCCCAGCTGGCAGCCCAGAACAGCCCGTTCAGCTGGATAGCAGTGGGAAGCAAAAAAAAAAGAAGAAGCAGGCATGTGTTTCTAGTGTGTGTATTTTTACACATGGGTTAACATGGTATCCTCCTGTTTTCAACTTAAAATAAACTAAAGTGTGTGAGCCATTTTAGGGGATGCACAGACCTCACCACTTTACTACTGTTATCGCTTTGTGTTGATTTATAGTTGATAAATGAGTAGACGATGTAGGTTGTAGTCCTGAAAGAAGATACTCAAAATGAACCTGGCTGCATTTTAAGGCTAAACGTGAGCTTACTTTATTTTCCTC